CAAAGGAAGTAATCGCTGCAGCGATGATCCCGACAAAGCGAGATCACGGCTCTTTTCGAGATTTAAGACTAAGCTTAAATCCGGAGGAATATGGGGATGGGTCTCAGATCTTTCGAACTCCACTCTTTATTCACAGGAATTCGCCAAGATCTGCTAACCCTCGCTGTAAATTCGTGGCTCCACTCTCCACTTTGGCAGCGTTTCGCCCTCTTGATCTCTAGATCTCGAGAAATGAACACCCGAGTTCGTATTTATAGGCTCCGGTTGAGGGGTTTTTGGATCAAAATAAGGGATTCCTCCTTATCTTCAGTTAATAACTGATTAATCATAGTATCAGATCAGTTGGGACGCTCAGGAACAAACAAATCCCGAAAGAACCCGCGAAAACCGAAAAAAACTGGTTTTGGATCAAAACTGGCCGATTCGTCACTTGGTAGCTCGGCCTGGCTGAGCCACCAAATGGTGCGGTCGCCAAGCCACCACTTGGTGGTTCGGCCCATAGCAGAGCCAATGGCCTGGTCGGGTCGTTTTGACGCGACTCGGCCACCAGAGGCTTTCTTGTTTTTTCGGGTTTCGATTTGTTCCGTCGTTTACGTGTATTTCCTTGATTCGTTGACTAGTACGCTTCCTTGATTCGCTCTGCGTATTTCGTGAACGATGAGTACGCGGGCCACTCGGACAAATCTTCTCGACTTGGATGATGACGTTTATCGCCTTCTCTTCGTCTCGAGCCGTATATGGAAACCTATAAGCATTTTTAGACGCCTACAATTATTTTTCATAAAATATTATTTTTTATAAAATAATCTTTTACAAAAAGTATTATTTTTTAAGAAATATTTTTTGAAAAATATTATATTTTAAAATATATTTTTTCCAAAACATATTATTTTCTTTAAATGATATATTTTTAAATAATATATTGTTTAATATTATATTATTTCTAAAGTTATATATTTATTTTTCAAAATAATATATTATAATTCAAAATAAAATATAATTTTCTAAAATAATATATTAACTTTTAGTTTTCAAAATAATATATTATAATTCAAAATAAAATATAATTTTCTAAAATAATATATTAACTTTTAGAATACTAAACTAATTTTTCAAATAATGTATATTTTAAATTAAGATATTATTCTTAAAATAATATATAATTTTTTAATAATATATTATATTATTTGTATAAAAATATTATGTTCATAAAAAATAATATTTCTTAAAAATATTTTTTGAATAAATATTATTTTTTATAAAAATTCTTTAAATTTACAAAATATATTATTTTTTGAAAAATAAATTGAAGAGTATTATATATTTCTAAAAAATAAATTTTTCCTTAAAAACTATTATACTTTGTTAAAATATTATTTTTAAAAAATATATTTTTGAAAAATACTTTATTTCAAAAAAAAAATACGAAAAAGAATTATTTATTTTAAACAGTTGCAATTGCAAGTTACAAAATTTAAGTTTTTGAACCAAACAATTGCAACCATAGTTGCAATGCAAGTGTCACTTGGAAGCAATTGATACGTTGCAACTCTTCTTGCATGCAATTTCTAATTCTTCATAGTCTTTGTTTATAAATTTCATCGATGTCTCATGGAAAAGAGTTTCGCAATGTTAAAAAAAAATGTGATAATTTATTGCTAATGTATTGTTATAGACTTGTTTGGGAGCCATACAGATCATAAATTTTGATGAAGCTAAAGCTAAATCATCATAAGATCTACAATCACCAAGTGAAAGCTTCGGTTAGGACTTCTTAATATTTTAGGCCTCCTTTAGTAAAGTTTAATGAAAGCTTAGGGTGTTGTTTGGTTCACTGCAACTGGAGGGTTTGCAACTGGGACATTTGGATCAGTTGCAGATATTTATTCACTCACCTGCAACTACAGATGTAAAATTGAGTCTGGTTGCACACGTCTGAGGCAGATTTGAGTGTAAATAAAGTCGCTTTTGCAAACTTTTTGTTGCAAAAGGGTGTTAATTGGCAACTATAATTCACTGTTATAAATAGTGGTAAATAGCCCCGCAATAGCGGCGCTAATAGCGTTAGCGGTCCTTTCTCGCGATGCTATCGCCTGCTACGCTATCGTGTAATAGCGGTAACATATTGCGAAATATGTATGTTCGCAAAAGCGGCCAATAGTGTGTCATAACGGTAAATAGTGAGCGATTGCATTAGAAATTTGTTTTTTGACTGCTATTTAGAAGCGGTTTGAGGCTTATTTTTTTTAAATTAAACTCAACCTTTAACCATTACATTCCACCGTCTCCTGTAATTTTCAGCATACTCCAGTCACCTCTCATAGCCTCTGGCACCTACCTTGATACTTCCTCTCAACTCCTTCACCGTGAGCTCCTCTTAGGGAAGTCCTGTCACCACTAAGCTATTCTTCTCAAAAACGATGACTTTTTGACTCCTCCAGTCATATTCGATATTACGTGATTGGTTACATGTCTATTTCATGTTTAGGATCTCTTTAAATCATCCAATATGTACTTTTAGACTTCTTAGATTTTTCTTTAATTTTTCTTTTTTTAGTATTTATATATATCTAAATTAGACCGCTATTTGACTTTGCGTTTTTTACCGCTATTTTACCGCAATAGCCCGAAATAGCCTTAGCGATGCCTCACCGCTACGCGACGCTATCCGCTATCGATAACCTTGATTGAGGCTTATTTTTTTTAAATTAAACTCAACCTTTAACCATTACATTCCACCGTCTCCTGTAATTTTCAGCATACTCCAGTCACCTCTCATAGCCTCTGGCACCTACCTTGATACTTCCTCTCAACTCCTTCACCGTGAGCTCCTCTTAGGGAAGTCCTGTCACCACTAAGCTATTCTTCTCAAAAACGATGACTTTTTGACTCCTCCAGTCATATTCGATATTACGTGATTGGTTACATGTCTATTTCATGTTTAGGATCTCTTTAAATCATCCAATATGTACTTTTAGACTTCTTAGATTTTTCTTTAATTTTTCTTTTTTTAGTATTTATATATATCTAAATTAGACCGCTATTTGACTTTGCGTTTTTTACCGCTATTTTACCGCAATAGCCCGAAATAGCCTTAGCGATGCCTCACCGCTACGCGACGCTATCCGCTATCGATAACCTTGATATAATTGCAACCATTTATGGTCCAACTCCGAAGTAATCCAACTACCTCCCTAAGCACTCCATTACTCCTCTCTTTTTCTTCTTCACGTTCTTCACCCGAAAGCCTCAAAATTTTATTACTGATTCCCAGTCTTCAATCATGAAGAATGATGGAAATCAAAGAAAGAATAAAAGAGGAATAGACAGTAGGAATTTCATAAAGCAACGGCGGAGCCTTTGCTCTGCAGCCACAAGGACGTCGCAATTGAGATTCTTTACTGAATTTCTTTGTGGGAAACCCTGGCTTTTGTTGTGCTCATCGCCAAGATTCTTCTTTGATGACCTTTGCCAACCAGTAGGCTAGTAACTAAATGAATTTTTATTGTATATTATAGTGGTAATCCTTATTTTGTGTAATGAAAGAATTGAACGAAAGAATTGAATGTTTGATGGAAAAAGGGATGCCCTTCTTACATTTGAAGTTGTTATATTTGGGAAGAACACAAGATGGGCCAACCTAGGACCTTGCTTCCTTTGGGTGATCCATCTGTTTCATTGGCTGTAATTGGTGATAGGATGTTTTATTGTATTCATCCTGTTGTTTCTGACTCTTGCTTGTTCCGAAGTTCTGGATATTCTAGTTCCTAATATCAAATTCACCTGTCATTCTAGATCCTAATTTCAAATTCACCCAACAATTGGGCATCTATCTTAGTGTATTCGATTGGCTACCAGTATGGGTCATTGCACGTTATCTTCTGATTGGGAAACTAAATTTTGTTGCAAGCACAAGTTACAATCAAAACAAACACATGCAATTGCAGGTTGCAAAAGTTATAAACTGAACCAAACAAATGCAGTTACCACTATGGGGTTGTTTGGTTAACTGCATCTATAATTGCAATTCAAGTGAAGTCACATGCAATTGAAGTTGTTGCAAACTGCTGTTGCATGCGATTGTAATTGCATTTGTCTGTCTCAGTTTTAATTTTGTTAACTTGTAGTTGGAGTTATAGTTCTAGAGTTTTTTATTTTTACTTGGAATTTGTCCTCATTTTCAACTTGTTATCACTTATTATCACGTATTTGTTTTATTAGTATAAGGGGTTTTTTTTCCTAACATAGTTGTACTACTTTTTTCTTAAATATTTTTTGTTTATCTCAAATATATTCTGTAGAACCATAATTTCAAATAGAATGTTGAACTTTATTAGAGAAAAAATCATAACACATATCCACCAATAATTTATTAAATTCACCAAAAAATTCAAGGAAAAGGGGGTTAATTTCCAGTTATCTACTCCTAGTACCCCTCCAGTTTTTTTCCCCTTCCCAATGAATATTTCCATTCACCTTGAACGGTTAAAGTACATCCCTTTTTTCCATTTCTATACGAAAGAACTGAAAGCAGTTAATGAATTTTCAGAATTAGCTTTTTGTCAGAAGTGGTTCAAATACTCCATCATAGAGGTAAACAAAGATTTATAAATTTGAAATTTTGAGACATGGATGGGTAAGTGTTTCTGGGCATGCCAACTTCTGTGTGGAGAGAGTGTCCTACCACTATTTGGTTTTCCTTTACAGAAAACAACTTTTGTTATTCTTGTTTCTTTCCACTAAGTATGTTGGGAGCAGGTTATAGTTTCTGCTTTCATATTCATAATCATTTATTTTCTTCTCTTTCTCAAGTACTTCTCTTTCAGGAATTATTTTTTTATTTATCGGCTTGGTAAAATCCTTAACATTGATTTTTAACTGAGAAGTGTATAACTCCCTATATAAATTAAAAAATTATAATGTAGAGGTCTTAATAAAGGTCATATATCGACCATCTCTTGTAAATTCTGTACTTTGATTTTAGGTTTTCAATGTGTCAGGGGATAAGGGTTCAAGTGAGGAGTGTATATATTGAGGGTCGCAGCTTGCCGTCCAAAGGGCAGTACTTTTTTGCCTACAGGATTAGAATCACTAATAATTCCCAGCGTCCTGTGCAACTCCTCAGAAGACATTGGATCATAACAGATGGCAATGGAAAAACTGAGAACATATGGTTAGCATCATGCCTAAATTTTTCACTTCATAATTTTTTAGTGGGGTTTGCATTCAGTTATTTGTACTAGAACTTTGTTCTTCCTTCGCAGGGGAGTTGGAGTAATTGGAGAGCAGCCTGTCATTCTTCCTAAGACTGGATTCGAGTATTCATCTGCATGTCCATTAAGTACTCCTAATGGGAGAATGGTGAGCTTCAAATTCCTGTTCCTCCCTTACTAGCTGTTTTAGCCAAATAAAATCCCTTTTATTACCATTTATTATTTGCTATGTAACTGTAAAAAATATACAGGAAGGTGATTTTGAGATGAAGCATATCGATAAGGTGGGATCACCAACCTTCAATGTTTCCATTGCACCATTTTCCCTTTCCATCATTGGAGATGATGATGCCAATGGCCTTATTTAGAAGTACGAAAACATTTGGCAATTTCTTAATGGTACAAACGAAGAGTTTCAATGTGGTTTCTGCTTTTGCATCGATGCCTCTCTGGCAATGTTCCAACATTCCACAGATCTCACACTTTATGCCATAAAACAAGAATATTCCCCAGGTGTTCTAGTGAAGGATTTATGTGATTTCTTGCTAATTATGGTTACTATTGTAAGATGGTTACATTGCAGTTGGAGGAGGCACACACAATGCATGTGACAGTACATGCTGCCTACCCCTTCCTATAATTGTTGTATGTATTAATTATGAACATGAGCAAGTGTATGGAACTTTCTCTTCCATTGAAAGTGAACCACAAAAGAAATATATCATTATCATTTCCTGAGAACATGTAACGGCCGGGGTTTTGGAATGAGAGGAGGAAGGAAAGGTGAGAGTTTTTCAAATACTCATGCACTTCTTGTGGAGGGTGTGGATCTCAGCGAGATTGTGTAGCTTTATAATGACCACTCTTTGGCACGCAAAAATTGAAAAAGGAAGAGAGGATGTTCTTGTGGATTTTTTATGCAACTCCGTGATAGCTATTGCTGATGCATTTCACATATAGTTTCAGGGACGCGAAGTGAGCCAAAATCACTGTCCCCTGGCAGTCCATTTCTTCAGCTTTAATCGTTTACTGTTGTGCCGTTTCATGCTGTTCATGTTGCCCGTTCTTGTTGCAATGGAAGGTATCTTGATCTCTCTGTTTTTTTTTCTTCTTTCTACATAGGTATCGGGGTCTGATCGGATTCAAATTATGATTTTATGTCTTCGCTGCTATACCGAAAAAGTTGCCACCAATTTTATGACAATTGAAAGTTATTTATG